CCTATATGAACCATCCCTCATGGTTTTCTTTAAGGGAATCCCTAGGTTCATTCCCAACACTAGGACCAAAATCGATCCAACACCCGACAAGTCATGACAAAAACACTGCGAACTTCACCCCCGACCCTCCCGAACCAACGCCTTTGTTGGCCTCGTTTTGCATGAACAAGGCTACCCGGCGCTGGAGCGTGCAAACTTGTAAACTTGTGTTGGTGGTACATGGGTATGTGCCAAACCAAGGGGACCTTTGTGTTTGTGTTTTGTTCTTTTGGTGTCCCTTTAAACCAACCCCCCTCAAAGGGAGACCACTGACACCGACAACCCCACCCGATGTTTCTGACCTGAGTTGACTCCCCAGAAAGCCGGTTCGACTTTTTGGGCATTGGACTCAAAATGAAAAAATCTGCCGACAAACAACGAACACAGTGCTAAGAGCCCTTCAAAAGCACAAAACCGGTCAACCCGTGTTCTGTGTTTTTAAGATAACTTCATAGGCCGCCCAAAGGGTCCCTTGATACCTTCTTCTGAGAGTACAATTTCGTGGTCCAGGGGCAAAGCGAGCATTTGAAATACAAAAAGGAACACTGCCACAAACGGAAGGTGAACACATGCCAACTCGCGACTGTACGAACCCTGGGTGGATTTAACGGACACCACCTAATAAATGAATTACCAAGAAACAATGGCTTGCCATGGTTTCTTAGGTGGTGCAAAATGGACTTCGCAGCCATTCACAGTACTCACGTCGGTCTAGGTTTGAACCCTCCCTCAAAAAAGTTGGGTGAGACAGGGCGCTACTCAAAAACCTAGGGAAGTAAGACGTCAAAGCCGCAGCACGTCGCCAATTCAAAACCCGCCGGGGCCGCGCGCCGAGTCGCCGTCTTGGGGCCTTGGGAGTTGGCACTGCGTTGGCACGGGGCCCCTTGTGACAGCGGGGGTGCTCAATTCGGGGACCAGAACATGGGCCGTGTCCTTTTTGTTTCCCGGTAAACTTACATATATGTATATGCTCAGGGGTGCATTTGCAGGCACCCCCATGCTATACTTTTCGTTGCTTGCATGCGCCCTGCCAGTCTTTGCAGGCAGTTCCAAGTGGACTTCTTGACGCAACAACGCGTTGTTTTCGTCAGCCTTTTGCAGGACTCTTGCTGTTATGTGTAGTGTACTATGAAATTGGCCAGTTCTGGAACGTTGCATTGGTCCAAGATCACAGCCAGAAAAGAAAGGAGGCTCCGCTTTTACCGAGAGTAAATGAAGCGCCCAAGGGAACAACACTCTGTTTGATGAATCCCACATCACAACATGGTAGTAAACACGCCCACGGGAACCCTCTGTTTGATGAATCCCACATCACAACATGGCAGTAAACACACCCACGGGAACCCTCTGTTTGATGAATCCCACATCACAACATGGTAGTAAACACACCCACGGGAACCCTCTGTTTGATGAATCCCACATCACAACGTCGTAGTAAACACGCCCAAGGGAACGCTCTGTTTGATGAATCCCACATCACAACATGGTAGTAAACACGCCCAAGGGAACCCTGTGTTTGATGAATCCCACATCACAACATGGTAGTAAACACGCCCAAGGGAACGCTCTGTTTGATGAGTCCCACATCACAACATGGTAGTAAACACGCCCAAGGGAACCCTCTGTTTGATGAGTCCCACATCACAACACGGTAGTAAACACGCCCAAGGGAACCCTCTGTTTGATGAATCCCACTTCACAGCATGGTAGTAAGCACACCCAAGGGAACCCTCTGTTTGATGAATCCCACATCACAACATGGTAGTAAACACGGCGAAGGGAACCCTTTGTTTGATGATGCCCTTGGGTCCGGGGTGGTGCCCATGTCTGTGGGGCAGCACCCGTCACGCCAAGGGCATAATGCTTGTGCTGTGTCGGTGCGGACATAGCCTTGAGATGCTCAAGGTTGCCCCCTCTCTGCAAGCTGCACGTTCCTGGGGCTGGTACTGCAGCGAGAGATCGGTGCGGGAAAAGGCTTTTGGGTTGCCTCGCTGGCTAGGATGTCACGCCGTCTTGCCCTTATGCCAGACTCGTCTGCACGGGTGGTGGCGGGCCTGACTAGCTCGCGAGCGCGTGCTTGATTGCGGGGCCGGCCTTGCCTTGACGCGCACGTGTGCTTGCGCTGAGCAGGGTCCCTGAACCCCAGGTTTGTCCTGTGGGATGCTGGTTGGAATTGGCTGAGTGCACCCAAGCCGTCCCACACACACACTCTCTCTGTTCGATGAATCCCACATCACAACATGGTAGTCATCACGCCCAAGGAAACCCTCTGTTTGATGAAGCCTCTGTTTGATGAATCCCACATCACAACATGTAGTAAACACGCCCCTCTGCTACAGGGTGCTTGGGCTGACCAAAAAGGCGTTTTGCTGAAGGTCAAAAAACGGAGGTTCGCGTTTCGCCTGCGCGAAACGGCGCCTGGAAGTGCGCCCTTCGGGATATATCATATATATATATATATATGATATATATATATATATATATTATATATATATATATATGTGTGTGTGTGCGTATACTAATATGAACACATATGGCAACCACAAGGGATCCAGCATATTGAGGAACCCAATGTGGATTTCCGGGGAGTCGGTGTCAAGAGTACACCATATTTGTCACCCAACAAAGTCAGGGAAGCTTCTCGAAAGCAAACATCTACGGGTCCCATGGTTGGGAGGGTATCCACAATCTGCGATTTGGAAGGATCCCCTATATAGGCAGAAATTAAAAAGGCGATCAACCCCATTTTCCAACCACATCGAGCCAATGACTGGAAACTCAATACTGCCTAAGAAACTTTGGTTATGGCATGCCACGGCGAAGCTTGCTTTACGTCAAAGGTGAGAGCTGTCTATAATCAATTCAGTTGAAATCAGCCCCCCTGCCCTGGGGTCCGCCGTGTCGCTTCGGTCCCGAGAGGTTAGGGTTTAGGGTTTAAGGTTTAGGGTTTAAGTTTAAGGCTTTAAGGGTTTAGGGTTTAGGGTTTACGGGTTTAGGGTTTACGGGTTTAGGGTTTAGGGTTTAGGGTTTGGTGTTTAGGGTCTATACGCTCAAGTTTTGCCAGCTGAAAACCCTACCAACCTAAGACCCCGAACCGATGAATCGGTGAGGTCTTTTACCCCTCTGGTTTCAAAACGTGGCCTGTGTCTACAAGACGGTGGGTTCCCTTAGTTTCCCAAAGGGTCTCAAAGGGGCAACAGGCGCCCAAAATGTTGGGAATTGGGTCCTGAGATCCACACGCAACTTAGGCCTGGATTAATCATAGGGGTATGGTCGCAAGTTTTAAACCCAACTTCGGCCAGGATCACTAGGGGTAAACCAGTAGTAAAAAAAGGAACCCACATCGTTGGAAATGGGCTCGCCCATTAAAACCAACTTAGGCCATCAATTGCAGGGGTAAACCAATAATGTGTATTTGCACAGGGGTAAACCAACAGTAAATGTACTCGGTGGCTTTCTGCTCCCCTGCTGAAAGCTTAACTTCTAGTGTCTTAATGGAAAACCCATTAGTTGGAAAAACAAGGCTAAAGTCTTAACATCCAAGCAAAATGCACCAAAGTGTACTTTCCCTCTTCCCACAAGGAAACCAACTCGCCGAACGTCCCTAAGCACCTCCGCACCGAGCTTCTGGCGGCCGCGAAGCTCGGTTGGCGGAGGCACCTCCCTTGGCAGCCACGAAACCCGCGCGGGGAGAGGCCGTCAAGCGCCGCTAGCGGAATCCCATGAATCTATCTTTGGAAAACCCATGAATATCTAGGTCCTCCAGTAGAGAGGTTAGAATAAGGATACCAACTTTTTGTTTTTTGTCTATTTTAGTGGGGGAACCCTCCCCCAAAAAAGGGTAAAGCTTGCACTACTGGGGGATCTAGATATGGTTGGACAATAAAGACACGGAACGCGGATGTTCATGGGAAAGGGCAAACTTGCTTTTCTGTGGGTGGACTTGAAAGGGGTTTGCGACCGCCAAAAACAAGTTGAACAAGGGAGAAGCAAAGCACTGGAGAGGTCTGGGGCTATCTGGGTATGTCAAAATTCACTGAGCCAAGTTGTGTGGTTGTCCTTGTTTTTGTTTGATGGTACCCCCCTTTTGGCGTACCCCCCCTTTTGGGGTCCCCTATTTTGAGACAAACTCTGTTCCCCTTCAAGGTGAAAAGGGTAACACCCCAAAACACACACTCATACACACTTTTGGAGCAACCAAACAAATATGAGGTAAGTTAGCACCTAGCTTGTCTCTAGGTTGGTCCTCACTGGGCTCTCACTGAGAAGGTACCTACCCAGGCGGAGCCACAAAAATGGTCTCAACATCACCAATTAAGGTTCTAAGCCGGGTCAACTCCTTGGGGAAGGGGATATTCGCGGGTCATCCAAGATGCCGGCCCAAAGTGTCCTACGGGCCTTCAGGTCCCTTCGTAAGCTTCAGATTCGAACCTGTAAGCCCATTCAAAGCATTCCTATTCAATCGCATCCATCAATCAGCTGTGAATCCTGGGATGCAAACACTGGAGTGTCCATTTCACAGTGCCTCAATATATAAACTCAGTTGACTTCTTTGTCGACCAGCCCTGAGCAACAAAGGCCTGCATGCCCCTAAGCCTTAGACAGTTCGCAGGGAGGTCGATGTTTTCTTATTTTCGGGAAACCGCCGAGCCCCAAAAGTAAGTCTCGCCCAAAAACATGGAGCAAGTTGGGCCCACCTGGTCTAGCAACGCCTCCCGCCATACGAGGGCTCGGCACGAGCATACGACATCCGAAATCCGGCGGAAAGAAATGCGGGACACGAGTTCCGAATAATAATTGTGTGGACTGTATGCGCATGTGACCGCAGGTCTTCCTAGAAAAAATAAGCATGTCACATGTAATGCGACAAAAGCGTGTTTTGCTTTAAATCAAGGATATGTGACGTTAACAAATAATACAAGAGTATATGATGTATACACAGTTCATCATAGTTCATCATACAGTATGTTTGAAAGGGTGTGATTATGTGTGCGCACTACGGCTCAAATTCATGCATTCCATGAATTTGTCAAAGCTGTCGGACTTTCCGTCTACGCCCGCCCAAGTTTATGCGACACCCACTGCAGAGTCGCTTGAACCAAACGAGCCAAGCGTCAACTGGGTAAACGACCAAAACCTGGACACACCAAACAGTGGTCTGGCCCAAAACCCGTGGTAAGAATGGAAAGGCCAGCTCCTTCTAATTGCTCGAGTTTTGATTGCGGATCGCTTGGGTCAACAATCGAGTGTGAACCGGTTGGAAAGGCAGGGATGGTGCAAGAACCACTTCCTTAGCTTCAGTCAGTTAGAATGAAGAACCCTTAACGCCATGGTTGCCCGCAAGCTCTGCCTTCTGCCCAAGTTAGGCTTGACCCTTGAACCTTCTTGTTGCATCGCACCAGAAAATCCCTTCGCAGCTTTCCCTTCACCAAACCAATTTCCGTCGATCCATTTTTGCCTCTGAAGCCTTTGGGGCCCTCCAGAGCCATAGATGATACACCCATGGCATAGGAAGAGTCCCATGGCATAGGTGTCCTTTTCTCGGGGAAGATGGATATCCCTGGTAGATGAGAAAAAACCACCAGGTAAACCAGGAATCGCCATCTAATTGTGTCTTGTCCTTTGAAGCTTTTAGGGGAAGATGGATATTTCTGGTGGATGATTAAACCACCAGGTAAACCATGGCCATCAATTTTCCCACCAAAAACAACCACCAAGGACACCCAGGGAGTCCCATGGCAAAGGGAACCAACCGAACGCTCCGGCCAGGGACCTCCGGCCACCCGTTCGGGTGCTCTCAAACAACAACCCCCTTACCAAGAACAAAGGAAGGCCTTGCTCCACTTTCAGCTTTGCTCCAATTGCTGGTTTTGATTGGTGGTTTGGTTGGGGAGCAGTTTCCCATCCCTCAGAAACCAGGGGTTCAAATCCAAACCACCAATCCAGAGCACCCAAGAGCGTTTCCTGACCACTTTTGCAAGCGCGGCTCACTCGGAACTGGAAAACCCCATCGGCGGACTTTGCGCCGAATCCAACGAGCTCGAGTGACTCTCTAGAGACTCGCTATGCACTTCGTCAGTTGCAAAGGTATAGCATGGCCTTAAACGGCAAACTTAGGGGAAACAACGCTTGTCTTTACTGCAGTAAGAGGAACATCTCAGTAGCAATAAAACTTGTCCCCTGCACTTTGAGCGGGAGTAAAAACGGTCACACTTGTAAGATTTGTTTGGGACCGGTTTGAGCCAGCGTATAATATATATATATATATATAATACATCAGTCCATTTAGAGGAAGTTGTTTTACATCTTTGCGTCTTAAAACAGGGACTTTCCTCGGGTCCAAAGTGACATTCCATGAATAACGCTCTGAATGGTTGTTTTGAGGGTCGACCCCCACGCAACTTTGAGAAGTCGTAACATGTCACTCTTCATCACCCACATAAGATACAAGCAGTAAAAGCTGGGGTGTTTTGTGTTTCCCCGGTTCCATCATCTTGGGACCAACTTTATGTTGCAGCCCTGCGGTCAAGTTGAGTGGGCGAACTGGGGAGGGGATATCCCTTATTCACCCAGCATGCCCTTACGTTTGGGCTTCTCCTGGGCTTTTCCAGTAGCCCCTAGGCCCAACATCCGCAACTTTTAGGAACTGCAAGGAAGCCTCAGGCCCTAAGGCCCGGAGGCCCGGTTCAGCGCGGTTCGCTCAGCGCAGCAGCGCCGCCATGATCTCGGTGAGCCTTTCCTGGATGCCGATGGCCAGCGTAGAGCCCAGGATCAGATAGATCCTCGAAGCGAAGTGACCCATCCACCCACCCAACCACCCAACCAACCGGCCGGCCGGCCGGCCGGCCGGCCGGCCCGCCAACATGCCAACCATCCCTCTTTTCCAACGCAACTGATCAAGGACCCCGAACAGGTTTCCGTGGGGAGACAAGGGCAGACAAATTGAAAGCCAACCCGCAAACAGTATAAAACAAACAAGGGATGGCAGTGCAGCTGCCCCGCAACACAACATTGAACAACACGTTACATATCACGGAATACATGCACTTCCCAAACAAAACCAGAACATCACCGAAAGCATAACATGAGAATAAACAACATATAGAAACAACAACATGTGTCAAAGAAAACCATCTAAACAAAAGCAAGCAATACACACAAATGGAAACAAAAACGCCTACCCTCCCTGCCACTAACATGGCACCTGACAAGGGCGGGCACCTTCAAGAGAAAAAACCTTCCAGGTGCCCTCCTCCAAAAGTGCTACGTTACTCTGAGGGAGGGTAGCAAACGAAACAACATGTGCTTAAAACAAGACACCTACAAAACAACCAATACACACAAAAAAGAAAAAAACCTACCCTCCCACCAATTCACATCATACTTGACAGGGATGGGGGGTCCTGGAAGACTATTTGCCTTTTGAAAAGACCCTGAGGTTCCCTGTTAATTGGTCGGAGGGTAAACAACGAAGCAACACGCATGACACAAAACTTGTTTCTATATATATATATATATTAAAAACAAATAGTAATAAAAATATATATATATTAAAAAAACCTGCAGCAACCGAGGTGCCCTTTGAAGAGGCTGCCCCGTGCGAAGCCCAGCAGCCCATGCTGGGCCCAGATCTCTTGGGCGGTGCGCCGAAAGCTCGGGTAGCGCTCGGGGTCCACCTCACAACTCGGACCCCGCGTGAAATGTCTATGCCCATGGCCATGGCCATTGAAAAAAATGGAGAAAAAAAAGAAGAAGAAGAAGAAGAAAAAACATGCAAAGGAACCACCGATCCAAAAGTGGGTGGTGGGCATGAACGCCCACCTAAATGATGTACAAAGGGCAACCAAATTGAAATTCATGCCCGTGCATGGGCGTGCTTTAATGTGAGAGCCTCAAGAATGTGAGTTTACTTTGGGTTTCCGTTTTTAACCCCCCACCACCAAAAAAAGAAGCTCCCTCGAAAACAAGCAAACCCACCTTAATATCCGCAATTTGCTCTTTCGGAATTGGGGGCGTGCGTTGGGGGCGCTTGACAACCACAAATGGCAAACTGATACTTCAATGACAACCCCACGTCAGGTACGTGGATCATATCCCCAGTCACCATGTCTGTCAAGTGCGTCCTATGTAGGGCCAACCCTACTTGGAAGACTTGTTTTCTGCGTGAGATATTAAGCACCTCTTGGGTGGAGTCGATAAATCCACTGGGATAAATCCAAGAAAACTGGACCCTCTGCTTGGATGGTCCGAAAATGTGAGTTACACCCCAGTGGACCCCAAATTCGCCTCCTGCAAACCCTTGCCACTGCTAACTCTTCGATTCCTCCCCAGGCCACAGGCAAGTGCAGCGTCCTTACATTCCCTCGTTTCTTCCTCCCAGGCCGCAGGTGGGTGTGCACATGCCCTCATTTGAGGGGAGCCCCCAAAAAGAAGGCTTGCCCTTTGGCTCAGCTCAAGGCTGAAGACTTCACTTGAGCTGGTGGACCCGTTCCTGGCTTCTAGAGATGTTGGGGTGGAGGCACCTGTGGAGGGTGCTTGGAAGATCGATTCCCCCTCTGTCAGGTGCCAGGTTAGTGGGAGGTGGGGTGGAGAGATGAAATCCTAGCATGCTATTGCAACACAACCTCCTAAGAGGCCTGAGCCTGTGGTTGACAACCGCCGCCAGGAAGCAAACTCGAGAAAGAAAGACAAAAACGAGCCGTGACAAGTGAATGAGTAAACAACACATTATCACTACGCTGATACAGTTGACTCTTGTTGATACCCAATCTTCTTTTCTTGCCAGGTTTCTTCCCCGGATTCGCATGGAACCCACAAATCCATCCATGTTTAGCGGAGGCGCCTCTTGGGGCTGCCCCAGGCAAATGAGCCAAGGGATCCGACGATCCGACCCTCTGCTGGGATTGCCGCTGATCCCCGCCTGCATTTTCGTCTTGATGTTGTCCCCGGCCATGTTGAAGAACGTCAAATACGTGCCTGGTGTAACAAGGACAAACAAAAACACACACACACACACAGACACACACAGACACACACAGACACACACAGACACACACAGACACACGCAGACACACACAGACACACAGAGACACACGCAGACACACAGAGACACACAAACACGCACACAGAGACACACAGAGACACACGGAGAAACACAGAGACACACGGAGACACACAGAGACACACAGAGACACACAGAGACACACAGAGACACACGGAGACACACGGAGACACACAAACACACAGACACACAGACACACAGACACACAGACACACAGACACACAGACACACACACACACACTTAAACTCCAGATGGAGAGTGCTAATCTTTCGAGTACAACTGATGAGTCTCGAGTACAACTGATGAGTCTCGAGTCGGATGAGTCTCGGCTGGCAGGTCACTTGGCTTCACTCTAGAAACGAAAACGTTACCCAAAAAACAAGAAGCACAAACAGCGCCGCAACCAAGGGGGCCAAAAGGACTTTCAGAATCACTAGCAGGTACAGGAGTTTGCGTCCAAACTCCTTTCCGGCTCATTCTCACAGCTTCGTTGGCACGGCTAGAGAATGAGCTGCCGTGCCCCCCGCTTTTCCTGTGGTGACAGGGTATTCTGTCACTCCGCACACACACACACGCCCCTCAAAGAGGGGCGAGAACCACTTTTTCGGGGGGAGAAAAAACACGCGCCCCAAAACCGGGCGAAGACCCCAACAGAAAACAAACGGAGCAAGGGAGCCCAAAAGAAACAGAAAGGCCCCAGGTTGGGTCACCGCGGGCAAAACCCCAAACAAGAAACAAGAACAACGGGGAAGCCAGGCTTCGGGTCTCCGAGGGCAACAACCCCAAACAGCGCAAAATCGACCTAGACCTTGTAGACGAAAGGGGCCGCGAAGGCAAAGAGGCAGAAGAGGAACAGGCCATCCCTAACCGGGCGAACAGGAAGTACAAGAGATAGCCCAGAGAGGGAAAGAAAAAGAAAGGAACGAAAAGAAAGGGACGAAAGAGAGAAAGAAAGAGAGAGAGAGAGAGAGAGAGAGAGACACAGAAAGAGAGAGAGAAAGAGAGAGAGAGAGAGAGAGAGAGAGAGAGAGAGACAAAAGCGTATTTAGGGCGTCGCAACCGCCCGGGGGGAAAAAGAAAGGAGCAGGGTGCGTATTTAGGGCGCCGCATCCCGCCCGGGAAGAAGGAACAAGAAGCAGAAGGCAAGGAGACAAAAAAGGAGAAAAGAAGGAAGAAGGAAGAAGGAAGAGGAAGAGGGAAGTAGTAGTATGCGTTTTTAGGGCGACGCATCCCGCCCAGACAGGAACAGAGGATGAAGACCAAGGCTCGCGGAGAAAGACGTCGAATCCCACACAGGGGCCAAGAGGACGGACCCGAAGTAGCAACGGAAGGGGAAGAAGACGTCAAGCCAAACTACGTGAGGAAGAAGAGGAGTAGGAACAGGAAGACAGACACGAAGACGAAGACGAGGAAAAAGGTGAACAACGCGAGGACAACCAGGCCATCCCTAAGCGGGCGAACAGGAGGGGGACGAACGCGCGGGTCACGAAAGGCAGCAAAAAGAGAACGGGAGGAAGGAGAAGCCATCCCTAAGCGGGCGAAGAACCAGAAGACGGGCACGCGGATGAAGAAGGCGAGAAGAAAGAACGTAGGGTGAGACGTAGCTATGATCTGACGGCTGTCTTCCCTTTAGTGAAACCTCGTTCCTGATTAAATCTGAAATTCCGCCGTTCTATGATAAGCACGTTGAGGTCAAATTTTCCGACAGAGCCGGCCCGGGGTCACACAATGGGTACACCCGAGGATTCCCCACGAATGGGGTGTACACACTTAAACTCCACATGGAGAGTGCTAATCTTTCGAGTACAACTGATGAGTCTCGAGTACAACTGATGAGTCTCGAGTCGGATGAGTCTCGGCTGGCAGGTCACTTGGCTTCACTCTAGAAACGAAAACGTTACCCAAAAAACAAGAAGCACAAACAGCGCCGCAACCAAGGGGGCCAAAAGGACTTTCAGAATCACTAGCAGGTACAGGAGTTTGCGTCCAAACTCCTTTCCGGCTCATTCTCACAGCTTCGTTGGCACGGCTAGAGAATGAGCTGCCGTGCCCCCCGCTTTTCCTGTGGTGACAGGGTATTCTGTCACTCCGCACACACACACACACACGCACGCACGCACGCACGCACGCACGCACGCACGCGCGCACGCACGCACCCACACACACATATATATATATATATATAATGTTTTTCCCTCTAACAAGATAGCAGGCAATAAAAAAGGTCACCAGGTCGATTCGCGATTCGCTTTGGGCGAGTTAGCAAGAAAGCCAAACTGGGAACTGAACATTTCAACTCATGAGGCTTCAGGCTTCGTAAGCCCAAGATCAATTTCCCAATCCATATAGGAAAAACTACAAAGGCTAAATGTACTATATTTCTAAAACTAGAGCCATATAGACCCAAGAAAAGGCAGGTAATACAATACAAATGTCTTCAAAGGGCGCTGCTTTCCCAACGCTGGGTCAGGATTCATCGCCCTGACCAGCCCAAAAAACCATTTCCATCCGCGCCTAAGGTGGCCGCCTCGAAGGTGAGGACGTTCGCCTGGTTCTTCTTCTCCAGGCCTCGGGAGCGCGCCCAGGCGCGCGCCCAAGCGCGCCAGCGGATCGGAGGATCGGATAGGAGACGACCAATCTGAGGGTTTTGGTATTACACCCCTGGGATTGCACCCTGAAATGACCCATGGTTCAAAATAACCACGGCTTTATCCGGAGATGTGCCATGGGGTCAATACCCGGGTGTATTCCCAGGGTGTAATACAAAAGCCCTTAGAACCACACCGCAGGCATGGGCAAAGTACTCAACTTCACATCTTTCATGAGCACTGCTCTGTCCCAACTATGGCACACAAATCTGAGTCTGGGGGTTGTTTGTGTGTTGCTCATACAGTATGTATTAATATGTGTACATATATGTATATAATGGAAATGACATATATATATATATATACATATATGTACAGATATACACATGGGTGGCCGTGTGTGTGTGTGTGTTTCTCTGAACAAATCTGATTTAGACAAATCCCCTCCTCTTTCGGCTCATGCTACGCTGCCCAAAGGTAGGCTGTTAGCAAGGCAGTAGAACTCACTACTCAATCGAACTGGGGATTTCTGCGCTGCTTCTCGCGCCCTTGCAAGGCGAGCGTTGCCACACACGCGACTCTTCCTGCCCAAACTTCGTCGAACGGGTAATATTAAATATGAAGTTCGCTAAAGCCCGCCTAACATGGAGGCCACGAGGGATGATCATGGATTAATCGGCCGCCAAAAACGCTCGCTTGGGTTTGGGACCTAATCGGGCGCCATGACTCCAGACTTGGGGTAACCTGCCAAAGCCGCCAAAGCCAGGATCCCTTTGAGCCCACCCCAAGACGCGCTTAATGCTGAACTCGACACCTAGGATTTAAATATTATCTGGCAACATGATGCTACCAAAGTCTGACCCACAACCATTCAAGGACGTTCTGATCAAAAGGTTCGGATTGAACCGTTTTTTTGGGCGGCTGTGGTGCTGAGCGTGTTCGCCTTCCCACCGAATAGCTCCTGGATGAACGCTCAACCCAAACGTTGAGCAAAACGTACATTGATTGCCTCCATTGAAACTGCTGCGCACCCGCCCCCATGTTAGTTGGTACCCCAAGGTAAGCCGACCTTGGCACCACTCCCAAAACGAAACCTTGCTCAAATGTTCAAGCTACTGATTAGGCGTGGAACAACAGGGCCTGGCTGATTTCTATCCATAGTACCTACCAATCCAAATACCTTGTGTACCTAGGGAAAGCATAGCTTCAGCAGCACCAGTGCTTTGCCCTCTGATTCGGAGAGTCATTCTCATCTCTAGTATCTTTTTACATTTCTGTGTGTGATTATATTTGTATATATATATATATATATGGCAGTTGATCAGTATTCCTGCTTCCGGAAAGCGCAAACTTCGCGAGAAAAAAAAGCTTCGCGAATCTTTCGCGACCCCATCGCTGTGCCCTTTTGTTTGCAGCGTGCGCTCTAGAGCCATTGTGGCTGCAGGCACGCTTGCAAACTCGTTCACCTTTACTGGCAAGTTTGCAGCAGCGTTAACAAAAAAAGGCACTATCGTTTGCTCTTTTCACTTGTGTTGGCCGGAAATGCAAACACAAAGCCACTAAAGCGAACCTGCTCGTAGGCGAGTCTCTGCAGGGTCATTCCCTACAGCCGTTGTATATTCCACATGTTCCAGTCATCCATTTGTTTAGTCACTGAAAACACGAAAAACGACCCAAGCCATGTTACAAGGCCAGGCGGAGGAAACGAAACCAAGGGAAACCAAACCTCGGGAGAACCGTCTGAATTAGAATATTTCACCCACCTGAAATTTATTCTCGTTGGGGGGTGTTCCCCACATAAACCTACCATTTGGGGAGAATTCGGTCGTGTGAGGTCGTTCTAATTCACCCAGATCACCGAAAACCAGCCAGGCGCTGGGCCCCCAGACTGCGGAGCCATGCCAAATGGCTCTCCAGCCACGCCGGCGCGTTCTCCGGGCTCCGGTCCACCGCGTTGTGGAGGAACCGCTTCCTGGGATCCAAGGGGAGCCGAGCCGAGCCGATGTCTTCGTCCCCGAAACCTGGTGGGCGTTGGAAGGGGCGCCAAAACTGGATTTTGGCAGTTGAGTGGTTGGATTTCCACCACTAAACCACAATATGCGAAAAAATGTCCACTACCCTCCTGTCAACATGGAACCTGACTGAGAAGTCGGGAAGACTCTTCTCCTTTAAAATGGACCCTGTGGTGGGTTTCATGTTTGTGGACAGGAGGGTAAATTCCATTCCTACTCCAGAATCCTACATCCAACAGCCCTGGTGGCCAAACACAAACAGGGAGTCCTTTCGTAACCCGAGGTTGGCTTGGATTCAGGATTGCCAGGGAAACCCCCACGAAAGGGACGAAATCCTTTTCGCAACCCGTACCTCACTTCCTGAATAAAATGGCCAAAAAGCGTCCAAACCTTGGGTTGGCGGCAAAAATCCAAAAAAGTGACTCAAATCTGGGAACTCAGGGAGTGAGGTAAAGGGGGAAAAGCCCAACTGAGCCCAGGCATCCACTCGAAGAAGGCAAAGTTCCACGCAAAGTTCCGCACCTCGATCCGCCGATCCGCGCAGCGAGTTGTGTGGCGCGTTGGCGCGAAAGGAGGGGGATGAAGGGACTACTGAGCAGAACCAACCTGTGGTATGTGTATTACAAATGTGTATTACTCTATCTACAATATATATATATATATATGGAGCACCTACCAACTGGCGCAGGACTTTGCGCCTGACTCCCTTTCCAGCGCCTTGCTCTCCTGATCTCCCCTGCAACTCTAATTTGCTAGGTTTCCGAATCCAAGGTAAACTTTCTTCCATCATCTGAATTCACAATCCATATTCGCTGGATTCGAATTTGGAAGGGATGGGGAAAACTTGTTGGTTCTCAGCAGGGATTCTATGTGCAGGGGAAAACGGGGGCTCCCTTGGAAGGACTTCCAATTGCAGCAACACCTTTCGTATCAGTATACAAACATATCCAATCTGACCACGATATTGCTTGCCTACACGATCTTGACATCTCTCTAATCTTGCCCCACATGTGGAGCGCACAGCAAACTATAGATCAGGTTCTGTTGCATATTTCGTCCACCCTTTGGGATCGGAGACCCCAGATTTGTACAACTGAAACAAGGGCGTTGTGTGTGTGTGTGCCTTTTTTGACAGTACCCTTGTTGGATGGTGAAAGAAAGGACCAAAAGGAGAAAGAACCACCACCGGAGCTTCCTGCTAATTTGTGGTTTGGAGCCCGGTGGTTTGGCGATGAGGAGGTGGTTCCCCAGTTGAACCCTCTACAAAAGCCAGGGCTTCAAATCCGAACCCAAACCACCAATCCAAACCGCCAAGTAAGGAGTACCCGACCCAATTGATACCCTTCTTGGATGGTGCTAAAGAAAAGTGAAATCAAAAGGAACCAAACAAAAACATGGTAGCCAAAAGGAACCAAAAGGAACCAAAAGGAACCAAAAGGAACCAAAAGGAACCAAAAGGAACCAAAAGGAACCAAAAGGAACCAAAAGGAACCAAAAGGAACAAAAAAGCAAGTAACATCAGAAGGAACCCAACAAAAACGGCTGGGGGGAGACTTCCCCCCGAAAAAACGAACGCAAAATCCAAGTCGTCCACGAGGCGCCCAGAGGCCTCCGGCGCCCGCCCAGGCGCCCGCGAGCGCGTTTCCGCGGGCCTGGCATGGGCGGCGGTCCGGCGCAGTGGCCCGGCCGATGGCCCAAAATTTTGGGAAGACATTCTCTGGCGTAGGTTGTGGGCTTTGGGTACTTTTGGAACACTGGGGAAAAGATGGGGACATGAAAGAATCATAATCATCTGGAATGATGATGTAGTTTATGGGCACTGGCATAGGTGGCCTTTTGGAAAAATGGATGGGTTTCCCTGGCAACTGGAAGAAACCCCACCTAAACCAGTGGGGCCCATCTATTTTTAATCAAGCTGACCTAAAAAGGACACCTATGTTCTCTGGGTTGTGCCCTCAAAAATCCATGAGTTTTTCTTGGGGAACAAAATCCCCTGGGTGTCTCCTGGTAAGATGGTGCCCAGGAAAAAACACGGGGTTCTCCCTGTAAATGGTATGCTCCCCCCCCCCAAAAAAAACACACAAGGTGAATGGTGGTGCGAGAAGTAGGGAATGAGTTGGAATGAACCCAGGCTTTGGTCCCCTTACAGGAAACTACCAGTTGGATGGTTCATAGGGTTCATTCCCTCATTCCTTGCTGAGCACAAGCAAGAAATCCCCGGGCTTCCCTAGCAAACGGTACCCTCCCCCTAACTAACATGGAAGTGCACAAAGCACTTAGAGGAAAGCAGTCTTTCCACAAGGGTCTGTGCACTTCCATGTTGGTCGGTGGAGGGTAAAACCATTTAAGCCAGTGCTGGGTTGCCCTGGTAAATGGATGACATTTATGCCAACCCATCTATTTCTATCCAAGCCCGAAAAGGACATGCCGTAGATGGGGGAGTCCTAACCGTATAATGGGTCACAAAAAGAAAACGCGGGTAGTTTATAACCCACGGAAAGGTGGGGCAGGTGAAATGCATATTCACTTATGAAGCCCTCTAGTCGACCCGTACCAAACAGTATGTAAATATAGGGGTGTAGAAGGGGGTGTAGAAGGAGCATGTATGTGTATGTGTATGTGTATATATATATATATATATGTATATAGCTATTGGGTACACAAGGAGGATATTCAAGCTACATCAACTCACTTCTTGGGCATATACTACATGGGCTATGAGCCCATCTCGGTCTGTTGGGAGGAAACAAAGCGGAACCGTTGACCGGATTTCTTGGAGCGCTCCCTCTATGTCCTTAAACATCCCCCAAAAGGAAGCTCACTATTGAATTGGCAACCAAGAGTTGGGTCAAAAACCGCCAGTGATTTATATAGGGACCGGTCCCATGTTGTCTACCCAAGGAACCCATGCTCATCAGGCATAAGGAACAACTCTGAGGCCGTGAATTTCTGGGGACGGTCCCTGAAAACACACTTCTTCTAACAAATTGAGCAAAGCGCAGTGGGATCCAAACCGGACATGAGTAGGTGTTCGAGTAGCTCTTAGTCATTTCGGAAACTGGTTCATTTGACCAAACCTAAGGAATCCCCAAAAAGGGACCTTGCTGGTTGATCCATGCCCAACTGCTGCGTGAGTCGGTGTAAGTTCAGGATCCTTGCTGAGTAAAAACCGGCGAGCGCCTCTTTGGCGATCCGGAAGGACTCCCCATAGCTCCGGATGTGCTGCTTCAAGCCTGCGCGATCACGGAAAGCGCTGGGCGTTTGCGATCACGGCAGGGCCCCCGAAGGTGTGTCTCACACTTCTCGAGCAGCACGGTCTGTTGGGTTGCCAAGCTTGGCCTCAAGGACAACCAAATCATGGTTACTTCTACTTGGAAGCGAATGTGACTTGTCGGAATCGTCATTATAGGTGTCCTTTTTTGGGGCAAATAGATGGCCCTGGTAGATGATTAAACCACCAGGTAAACCATTTGAAAGGACACCTATGGCTGTTTAGCTACTCAACATTGAGATTCATACAATAGAACCTCCTTCCTTCGCTCCTGTCAGTTAGGGTTTAAAATCAAAAATGCCGAATTGCTTTGGGGTCAGATTTTAACCTTTGGGAGTCGCACATTGTTGTGGGCTGTCAAACAATTAATTTGTCTGGCCGGGTCAAAAGGTTTGGTGGGAGATCTGCGCTTCGCAAAATATTTAATTATCCTGTAATATTTGTTGGGTTGACACTTTGGGCACCAACCCGTGTCAAGTGGAAAACGCACCTTCCCTGCAGTTTTCTAATCAGGTAGTCTCAGTTGTTTTCGGTGGGGGGCTGTAGGGCTTTGTAGTTTCCTGTTTTTAATGTTGGGGCGGTAGAACGTGGTTGAATGTTGAGTGGATTGCCACATGCTTCAGTGGAAAAGGATCATGGAAATTAGAGGGTTTCCTAGCTCCCTGCTTCCGTATGTGTCAAGCATCCCAATTTGGTTGCCATCTTCATATGAGTGTCCTTTTGTTGGGGGAGATAAGAAGCCCTGCTTTTACGCTACCTTGTTGGACAGTTTTGTGAGTAAAAGCCACCTGTAGTGTCCTTCTTGAATGTCAACACACGCTTCTCCCAAAATGCGGCAAATGGACCCGCCCACAGGGTTTGTTGTGTTGCACTTGCCCAAAACGAGCGTATTTGTTTGATCTTTGGGTTTTCCCATGGCAACCATACTTAGTCAAGACTCCAACAGGTGAACACCCTTCATGAAGAGCCTAGAGACCACGAGCCTGGGGCCAAGAATCGCTTCACAAAGTCTTGGGCGCTGCTGGTGATCACTTTGAGTGACCAAATAGATGGCCCTGGTGGATGATTAAACCACCAGGTAAACCAGGGCCACCGATTTTTCTGCCAAAACAACCAAAAAGGACACCTATGTTAGTGAAGTGTTGCTGCAAGAAATAAGCAAAAAAAACGCAGCGACTTGAGCGGCAACGCGTTTGCCACGTCGGGTTGCGGGCTTTTTCCTGCAGATGCGCCACGGTCATATGATTACCTACCGGATAAATGGGCTGGTCAGCATCCCTCAGCAGAAAACAACCATGGCAAGCATTCTTAATTCCTCGACGCATCATGACAAGCAAAAAACGGCTCGATGACCACAGGGGGGTTTTGAAAGTCCACACGTGTATATGCACATATAAGGGTAGGAATTTTAATTGGGGACCCTTCGGCGGACATTCGGCGGGGATATATGTCCACAAGATATTCAAAATTCAGAGCCGTATGCAGCCACACGGCTCCTTGCTGGGACGATAGGGAAACCATGTAAGTTCGGGGTGTTGGGGAAAAATGGATCCCTTCGGCAACCGCCAGCAAAGGTTTAGTTGGAGGCGCTTCCAACTCATCTTGCCGGTGCTCAGCAGGGAATGAAGGAATGAACCGGACCGGGATTCCCATAAAGGAAACCATATTGGGATTGTTCTGTTCGAGCTCATTCCATTTCTCATTCCCCGCCTGTCGCACCAGCGAGTCATCGCCAAACCGACCCAACGCCGCGCCACTTTCGACTCCGACCGTGGCCCCCGGCCCATGTGAACTCCAAAGCGCTCGCTCCATCCGGTGAGCGCCACCTACAGGCCGCCAGCTTCTCGAGCGCGTGGCGCGGTCGAAATTCGTTTGGCCGCTTTCGGTACTCCAAATTGGTGGCATGTGGGGGTGGAGTGTTTGGAGGGTACCCTTTCCTTGCTGCGAAAGGCCAGCCAAAGGGAAAACCACTAGGTGTGGGGACCCTAATTTAAGAAACACGCAGAATTCTAAATCCTATTTGGGGATAGACATGGTTGAACTGATTGGCAAGGCGTATTATAAAACTCATAGGCAATTTGATGGCTTCTTGACCAGTGGTTTTAGCAAGGCTGCTACGTGGTTGCATGGGGATATCACAAAGCTCTACTTCAAAAAATTATGTGCTCCCTTCGTTATGGCCCATTTGCCAGCGGCTCATACGGTGTTTTTTGTTTACAGCCGCCGCTACGCGTCTGTCTCAAGGGCCCAAGGCACCTCGAAAGACGCGAGCCAAACCAGTGAGCCCAAGAGCCGCCAGAGGGAAAATCCGTGGCGTTTTGGTGACCAACTGCCCCAAAAAGCCGCATCTGGGTGTGTCTTTTTTGTGAGGGTTGTCCTTTTTTTATGCTTTGTTTGGTGGGTTTAGAGGGAAGCCAAGAGGAAAACCCACCATTATGCGGTCGCCCCATGTTAAGACATAGCCATGTCTCTTGGACAAGGGTGACTGTTGGGGTGAGATCTTTAAACATGATTTCCTCTGATAGGGGTTCGCGTTCAATCGGCACCAGGTCTTGCTTGCAATTTATACAAGTGTCAATTCACAGTTCCTGAAACATCACAAACACACTTGCGTTACAAGGGTTCAGATTCTCTAAATCAGCTGGTACTTGGGTGAGTTTTCTGGACTTGCGCAAATGTACCTGGCGCCTTCCTTCTTCCTTATAGTGCGCCCCTCTTCATTTTGCTGGGTTCCCCCCCATTTCGGCCTGCTTCCCCTTGGTTGACGCTGGAAGGGAAGCAACAATTTAAATTTTAGCAGTTAAGTAGGGATTTCCCGCTAAACCACAATAGGCAAAAATGTCGAATGGTTCCCCACAACAACCATGTCCCCTTCCCTTCCCTTCTCGAGCCGGCGGTTTCGCGCGGTCCGAACGCGCCCCGAAAAATTACGCCTCCCCGGCGGTGCTGACGGCCACGGCCACGAAGAGCCCCGCGTGGGGGCCCAGGCCGTCGCCCCGCAGGTCGTAGAGGCACATGGCCAGCGGCACCTGCGAGCCGAGCCCCGAGCTACCGAGAGCTCGGCGGCTGGGGATCCAAAGGATCCACCCCACGCTTGGAACCTGCTGGAAATCGACACAAGGCTAAAGCCGCGGGCAGAGGTTGTTGGCCTCATTTCTCCTTTTACTGAAATCGGAACACCCAACCTCAAGGGCTAAGGCCAAATGGCACCTTTTTCCACCCCGAATCCGGCAAATTAAGCTTTTCCTTCGGGGGTCGAAGGGCCCTTTGCAAAGTGTCCCTTCGGCTGTTTGGAGTTGGTGCCGTTTTTATTGGTTCAAAACTTGCAAGTCAAAGGAAAACGCTGGAGCCAGCAGACTCAAAATGGGGATGTTCTGTTTGTTGGAAACCCTGTGATGGACATCATTTACGCGGGGGATCATGACCATCACCCACTTTGGAGCCACAAACTTCTTGGAGGGGGTGCGTGCAGTTGTCCTCTTACCCGGCAAACTTCTGCCGGGCCTTCATGCCCCAATGCACCGTCTCATTCAGCAGAGTCACCTGCGGACGGAGAAAAAGGCACCAGAGACGTCTGAAAGGTGCGTGCTTTACGTTCCCAGGAACCCGGCGATGTTCTTCTCTCACGGCAGACCAAAAGGAAACCGTTGCCGCCGGTGGGGGCCAATGATCGTTGACGGGCTCACCCCCTTTTCGTCCTGGGTCTTCAAACCACGTGCCGATGAATCGTTGTTCCATTTTTTGTGCGTGTGCGTGTGTGTGTGTGTGTGTGCTGCTTTGCAGAGGTTTGCTTCATTTGGGTGTGTCCAAACCACAGCAAAAGTGGCTCGGTCTTTTTGAGCCCCAACAAGTCCATGCTGCCACTTGGCCATTCAAAAGTTGGCTCAAAAGGCAGCAACCGACTGCTGAACCTGGATGCAAGTATGGGCGATCCCATTTCGGGGTCTCTCGTTCGCTCGTACTCTTGGAGGTGGACTGCGTGTGATCTGGAACATTTCAAGGCTCCCCCTGTCAACCAACTTGGCCGCCTTTCACTCTTTGGAAACTCCGACGGGGTTAAAAAGACCATGAAACTCCTAGTGGGCTTTTAAAAAAAGGGGAAACAACGCCATCGCACGCAAACCAGCCAAGGAGGTGATGGTCCACTCTACCCGGCCCCCCCCAGCGGCGCTCCAAATCTCGCTAAGCCCCTGGCCGAGGGGCGCCAGAACTTAAGGAAGCCCAGCGGCGTCCAGCGGCCCTGCGAGGGGCGTCATTGGGACCCACCCATCCCACGGTGGCTCGGGTGTCCTTCTTTGGGAGGTGGTACCCGGCTTTTGGGGTTGTGTTAAAGAAACGTCTTCCTTTTGGGTGTCTTGGGTGCCTTTTTTCTGGAGGTGGTACCCTTTGTTTTAGGTTGTTTTAACGGAACCACCTCCATTTTCGGCGTCTTGGGCGCCTTTTCCTTCTGGAGGTGGTACCCTTTGTTTTTGAAGTCCTTCCAAAAGGGACACTTCCCCAAAATGAAGAGACAACCCTGTGTGGTGTGGCTCGTCTTTGTTTGAGGCGAAGATAAGTGCCCCTTTTGCTTGGTGTCAAAGGGAAGCCAAAGAGAAAACCGAAGCCATTTGGGGCCCAACCTAGAGAAAGACACGGTCACTTTTCAGAAACAAGCTTGATACCGGAAACAACATGGAAGATACCCCCCACAACAAGAAAAACTCAGGCGATATCCCCAACAGCATGCAGTGCTCTTTTTAGCGCTCGCACCACCCCGCAGCCCTTGCAGAACCTCGTGGAACCCTGGTGAATCCTAGTGGAACCCTGGTGGAACCCCTGGTGGAACCCTGGTGGAACCCTGGTGGAACCCTGGTGGAACCCTGGGCTGAGACCACAAAGCTTTCAGCTGTTGGGAACAACAAAAACTTTACTGATTCAGAGCCGACTCGCAAGCGGAGCCATTCAGGATTCTTGTTTTTTGGGGGGGAGTCTTTGACAGGGTGCGCGCAGGTTCCGTTATTAACTCACTTCCGTGGATTGGCCAAAGCAAGTCAACGCCGCCACCCCTTCTCACTTGACAGGACCCGGAACAAGGTGGTCACCTTTTGGGATCTAGTGACCCTTGCACCCTTGCTCCCACGCCCCACATGTCCTCATCTTGTTCCCCCCTGCTTCCCCCCCTGTCCATTTCTCCTTTGTTCATTCAATCCCTCCGTCCTTGCTTCCTTATTGAACAACTTCAACGCTGGGCTGCTCACGATTCTCTGTTGAATCTGAAATCAACCGGGCAAATCAAAGCGTCTGCAGTTCCAAGGAGGCAAAACAAGAAGCTGACAAAGCTTCAACACTTCGCCGGAGGTGTTTCATTTAAGCAACTCACGAGGCTTGAACAGTTTAAAGGAAGTGCGCCAGATCAGCCAATGGGCTCGCCTTCCAGTAGGAGCACGAGGAAACTGGGATTCGGATTCCTCTTTGGTTTCTCAAAAGACAAGCCCAGAAAACCCTCACAACAGCCAGATGTGCCTTTGACGCAAAAGCCAAACAACGGTACCCTCCAAAAAACCACCCAGATGCCTTTTCAAAGCGACCAACAAAATGGTGCCAGGCCATTTTGAATCTTCAAGCCACCGCTTCCCGGAGCTTGCTCTAAACATGGAACCCAAAAAAGGAGTGCTTTAAAGGGAGACTCCTCTACATGGGTGCGACAGTGCGTCTTGAAATGGGGGGACCCCCAAGAATGCTTTGTTCCTTCTGGTTGCCCTGGCCACTCCAGAAGGGCTACCCGTCAAAACACGGCGCCGAGTGGTTCTTGCGGCTCCTCCCGACTCCGCCCGTCCTCGGCCGACTTGAGGTGCCGGCTCGCCATGATCCGCAGCCTGAAGGCTTGGGCGAGGAGAATTAGCCGTCGCTCCCTTCATCCCTTCAGAGATCACCCGTCGGGTTTCCAGTGGAGCAAAAGGACCCTTTCCGTTTTCGATGGCAAGAGGAATTCTCTGCAGATTCAGGATGGAACCCTTGCTGCGCAGACCTTATTTGCCAGACTTCAGAAATCACCCGTATGGTTTGCATTGGTTTTGAAAGGGAAAGCCCTTCCAACACCACTGGAGGCCGAGATAGGCAAAGGGAACCTACTGTTGGGTACGGTTCAACACAAGATGGGGAACCTTTAGGTAGGGTTCAACACAAGGTGAAAAATCGAGTTGAAAAAGCAGCACGGGTTCAGTCTCTTCGGGTCTTCCGGGTGACCTGGCTCCTCAAGCTCCTAGCCTTTGCGTCTTAAGTCGAGGAGAGTCAGTGGTCTAGCGTCCACTGAGGGATGTGGGACTCACCAAGTTTCCCCACAAAAGCTAGGGAGCTCTCACTACTTTGTCTATGTCTTCAGGGCAAACACGTAGTTGTGACCATGTCTCATTTGATTCAGGGTTTCAGTTCAGAGCCCCCCCCTCGTTCTATCAATATGGTAAGCCGCTTACCGCCCTTGCTATGACCCTTTCCCCTGAAAACAGTCCTTGAAGCCGAACCAACCACCAGAATCACTTTCTGCGGAACCCTTAGGCCACAACGGATCCAAACTTGAGCCAAACACCACGGGATAGTCACTAACGCGACGCGCCCGATGATGTTCCAACACATGGCTAATCACACACCCCTCACGAGGAGTCCGTCTTTGACGGATGGAGCGTGCCGTTTACTGATGGGAATTGAGGCTCGCATTCGTCCGCAAATAGCAGGACACTACCGACATCAGCGGTGGAGTCAACCCACATAGGCAGTTGCGCGACATCCCGGGCATTAAATTCCCGCCACCACCCCCAATTAATCGGGGCAACGCTGTCCAACATACCCAGTGAAAAGGTCCACGTAACGACGGCAGGTCACACCTGTTTGCATCAGGGATGCGAGTTTTCATTCTTATCAGAAGCCATGTACATATTCAACAAGGGAGTTGAATGATAGCACCCCCCTATCGGAGCGAGCTCGTTGAGATTGCTGATCATCAGTAACCTGACGGAACAATCGATCATCACTGTCGTCCACAAACCTGCTTGGCCCGCGAGGTGTGAGCATCACCCATGTGACCACCACCTGCCGAACTCTCCTCAAAACCCTCGTAGGCGAAGTCCGGCATCCCTTCGCCTAGCCGGGGGGGCCACCTAGGATGGCCTCCTCATCCACGACGCTCCTTGCGCTTCGTCAGGTTAACGTCATAGTGCTTGTAGTCGTAGGTCGCAAGCACGCAGGAAAGTCCTACGGCTGATAACAACTGGAAAAGTTGGGGTATACAAGCCACAAAAGAAAGACCCCGAAACAACAACCAATCCCCGGTCCCAAAGATCAGGGCTTCCCACACACAAGTGACCAAACAACCACAACCCAAACCGAACCAAAAGGGAAAAGGATACCCGCAACCTGGGTCCCCACCAACCTGCCCCGGGCCGAAGTCTCTTTCTCCTCCGACACGTTGGTGATCGACGTGGGGACCCGGCGACGCTCATCCGAGGCCGCGACGGATCCAAACTTGAGCCAAACACCACTGGAGAGTCACTAACGCGACGTACCCGATGATGTTCCAACACATGGCTAATCACAAGAGAAACAAACACTATTCCCCGTGATAGACTCCCGTTAACCCCAACACGAGAAAATTGGAGCCACCTCTTACAGTAATAGAAGCTTGCGATCCGTCCCTGAAGCAAAACCCGCTCACTCCCAACGTGGATGCTGAGGCCCGCGCGACTGCGACAAGTTGCAGCTGTTCTGCTGGGAGGTCCATCGTGCCTCGTGTCGGCTTCGATCCGACCTGGACTGGGCCAAATGCTATCAATCCCCAAGCACGGGGGGGGGGGGGGGAAAGGGGGGGCAGGCGGAATTGGAGGGCAAAGGAACCTCAGTGAATTCAATCCCTGGTGGATGTTGATGGAGAAACCCATGTAAGATAAAATCTGGAAGGGGGAAGTTGCAGCTACCCCACTTTTGAATCCACCCCCCTTCTTTGATCCGACTGAATGATTCGGGGTCAGCATGAAAAGGTGTGTGTCATTCGCCTTGTTGCTGCGTCTTTCCCGGCGGTATGTGTGGTGTGGACCTTTGGTATGGTTTGACATGCCTCTAACATCACCCCGCTGAAAGGAACTAACTTCAAAAGGGGCCAAAAGTGATGGTTAAACACCACAAATAAATATTATTTGGCCGCGACGCGTAGTTCAGGTACTGCAGGCAGACGTATTTGGTGGCGCCGCCCTTGGCGCCGTTCAGCGAAAGAGCCGCGAAGCCCGCGGCCTTCGGGAAGGGCAAGGCGTCCCGGTCCATGGCGCGGTGGGAGTTGTTGGAAACCCGGCGGGGGGCGGGAATTGGGGGGAGGGGAATTGGGGGGGCCTGGGTTCAAAAAGCCGTGAAAAGGCCCAAGTAGTTTGTTTCAGTTTTTGTGTTTTTTTAGGGCGGGTTGAAAAATTAGACTTCAAAAAGGGAGAAGGTTAAACTGTGATTGAACGGCTAAACAAAAGATCGCGAATCAAATGCTAAAATCTCTCTTGGCTAGTCAGGACTTGTGGCTAGCTTCGGATTCCTGGGGACCTGCTTTAGGCCGGTCCAACGGTCAGAGAAGGCCTGCGGGCTCCTTTTGGCGCGGCTCCTTTTGGACAGCCCTTTGCTTTCTGGGTGAGTCGTGGTCCATGTTCGGCTGAAGGAAAAGAGTCGGTGTTTGTCGCATGGATTTTAAGTTCTGGCGTACATCACGCACATGGGGCATCATGTCCATCCAGCACAAGTGCAGCTTCACAACTTCGGCTCTGAGCCAAAAGCGTCAAGAGCTCTGGCCACGCGAAGGCTGGCTGCAGCCAAGAAAAACGGGTGGTGCTGGTTCTCGGTCAGTGGGAATAGGAAGGACCCCTGTGAACCATGCCTAGGTCCTCCAGCAGGGGGTTAGAACAAGGGTACCAACTTATTTCTGTAGTCTATTTTAGTACGGGAACCCTTCCCCGAAAAAGGGTCAAAGGGCACCTAGCCGGGGGGCCTGGATCCCTTTTGGTCGCGGACCAAGAGGGAACCAACTGGTCGGATCCAGCCCATGCTAAGCTCCAAGCCCGCACGGGTTAGGGGTTTATAAGCCGGACGAATCACAAGGCCAACACAGGCCTGCCTTGCCGGAGGGTGCGATCCGTCCAAATGCTACAAGTCTTACCTTTAGACCCCTGCACCATGTCATTCATCCCCTTTTGGGCCCACGTTGGACCTGAAATCTGATGACCTGGAATAATCTGCTGAGCCCCCCCCCCCCCCCGTTCGCAAGGTGGTGACATCTAGTTTTGGTCCGCTTTCTGGTTTTCCCGTGCAATGACGGTCGACAGCTTCCAAAGGTGAGACCAACCAGCCGCTGAAGTCTCACTCCAACTCCTTCAGCGCCGTCTTCAGCTTGGCGATCTCCTGACAGAGCCATGGCAAGCCCAAATCCAGTGCTTCCGGGCAACCTTTGCAAGCTAACCTGGGTATCAACCCCGGGCTTTCCGAATAACTCCTCTGCTAAGGCCGTGTCTTCAAGGAATGAAGGCAGGGTGAGTTTGGGCAGGAAGGGCTGACAACGTGAGCCATGAACAAAAACACACACTCATTTGCAAGGCTCACTCTGTTTGAGAGATACGAGCCATACGCTCACTATACCATGGCAGTACCTAAAGAGAAAGTTCCATGACTGTCAGGACAAGGGTGTCCATGTTGTGTGCAGACCCTCGACCTGTTTCTGCTTGCCTCAAAGCCCAAAACACTCCGAAACACGCCAAAAACAGTGACCTTCAGGATGTCCCCCTCTTTTTGCTAAGAGGGAACAACGACCTAGAGTTAGCAAAGGGGATGACAGCCTTCTCAAACAAGCCAAAGAAGCCCAAACTCAACCGGCCAAAGGGCCCCACGGTCTAACGTGACTAGCGGTGATGCTTTTGGGGGCCTTCCAGTTGACGGCCATAACCTTGCCATTGCTCCCCTTTCTCTGAACCAATACACAGTGAGCCAGTGGGCATAGCTTTGCCAAGGCTTCCCTACAATAACCCTCCAAAAACAGGGGGGAAAACGTGTTGAAACCAAATGGGCCTGTCTTAAAGCGAGGCAAGCCTCAATTCTTGCTTGTTTATTGTCTGATTCCCGCAAACACCTAAGAAGACACTTCCCTGTTTTGGCATATTTGAGGAATACCCTTTAAAAGACACGCTCATAGCTGTGCGGCTTTGTTGGAGGATACCCCTTTTTGGTCTGTTTTAAAGAGAAACTAAAAGGAAGGCCACCATTGTTGGGAGGTCCCCCAAACAAAGAAGACACGCCCAACGAGGATCTCCGAGAAAAAAAGAAGAAAAACAACGGCGAGGGGACGCGAGCGGTCCACGCGCGCGCCTCCTGTCGATGCGCCTCCGCTTTGGCCGCATCCGCCTCGGGGGAGATGCACTGCTTCTTCAGCTCCTCAAGCCAAAGGGCGAGAGGGGCAGCGTCCGTGACAGCCACAAGGGCAGGCAGACACCTGCATATATATATATATATGCATATATAAGGTGCATATGTTTGTATAACGTAAACACGTGTATCATGTGGGTGTATAGGATATATATATATATGATAGGTGAAGATAGGTATTTTGTGACGTACAGCCACGACATGTATCTTGGATTGTGCGTGTATGTACGTATCTATAAGTGCACACAAGTAGCTGGATGAGTTATCAGAACTCCCCAAGCTGGATCGAATATTGATTCAGAGCCATAGCAAGAGGAGACAAGCAAAGATCTACCGCTTCCCACAGCAGTATCCTCCCAAAGATGCATCGCAGACTACATCAGCTGATATGGGCATTTGTCGAAATAGGGGAACACTAAAGCTGGCGGATTTGTTCAACATTGAGTTGCTCGCTTCCTGAGGGGACTGGCCAAAAAAGGTCTAAACGTTTTGTTTGCCACCAAGGTGTTCCCAACCCCAAAAAGATAAAGTCCATGAACTCCGGAAATGGTTTGACATAGATCTGTCATACAATACGTATTCTGTGGCTTGGACTGTCCTCTAAAAACACCACTTGGGAGGGAGGTTGTTCCTCTTTTCAGGCTTGCTCCCACCCTTGCGCAAGGGGGTGGGCAGACGATTGGTCCCCGAAAGGAAGACACAGGAACCTACCTAATTGGGGTGTGGCCCGAAATGGAACCCCAGTGAATGGCAAGACTGCGGTTTGGCTCGAAAAAACATGAGCCACACCCATTTCTGCGATTGGGTCTTCGTGTTCGGAGCAACCCTGCGTGTCGTTCTCCCGCCAAGCCAGGCAAAAGATTCAAATTGGTATGGGTCAAGATTAGACGAGGCCGCAGCTTTTAGTCCTTGGTTCCATCAGGTTCCATTTTGGGGTTGGACCCACAGCCACATGATGTCAGCACTGGACGAGCTGTCTTTGACCTGGACAAGTACTTCGTCTGGAGAGCTGCTGCCTGGTGAGGGGGGGGGGAGCCCGTTATCGAGTCGACTTTGACCCAACCTCCGAGTACACCAAAATTACACCAAAATATTCATCTTCGAATGCGTCATATTCTAGTCAACCTCACAAAGAATATATATATATATATATGTATATATATATATATATATGTGTCTTTGTCTCTTTCAGCAGAAAAAAACATGTTCTACTTTTAGGTGGCTTCCTCTTGGTTTCCTTTCATAAAAAGGTGTGTCTGTTTTTTTTAGGGAGCCCCCAAAATGGTGGGCGTTGTCCTCTTAGTTTCCCTTGAAAGCCCCAAACGAAAAGGATACCCTCCAAAAATATCACACGCCTTAAGTGAATAAACAAATACATAAATAGTACATAAATAAATACAAACTCAAAAAAGGAACATTAAAAACGAAAACAAAAAATAAGAAGAAAACGGAAAGACACCCGCATCTTCGGAGACCCAGTCCCCCCCCCGGAAGCGCACCGCTACCCCCGCAAGCTCCTCGAAGTATCCCGTCGCCGAGCCCAGCTCCGACTGCGAGGAGGCCAAGTCCGCCTCGAACGGATTCGCGAAAAAACGTCCTCGGGGTCTGGACCAAAAATCGGAGAAACCGTGGGGTTTTTGGTTGGCCCAAGCAGTTCAGAGAAAAAAAAGGGGCCAAGAATCCGGAAAGGACCGCGGGAAAGTGGGCTTGGCCTTAAAGAATCTGGAAAGATATCAAGAAAAGGTCCCTCGTTGGTTTCCTTTTGGGTTGATTTGTGTTGCATCTGGTTGGGTAGCCAAGGAAAATTCAGGAACAGAGTTTACTACTGAGAACCCGGTTGATTGACAGGAGCGTTGCGTGTGCTTTTGAGAGAATGCCTTTTGAGGTTGGCTTAAAAGACCCGCCCCCCCTGTTTGGAGACAAACCCATTTAGGGCTGAAATGGGAGCGACCCATAGAGGCGAATCCGATCACTTTTGGGGGGGAAGCACACCTCCACTTTCGGGTGGATTTTAGGGTTTGGGGAGTTACTTGAGTGCGATCCAAACCGAATTTCTTGACCCCATTGAAAGCCTGCTGCATCGCTCTTTTCAGGCTCTTCCCCAGGTCGTTTGGTGATTTCCCAAGTCGAATTCAAGCGGTTGTGAATCCTAGTTTCTTTGTAATACCTCGCAAACGCGCGGGGAGGGTATCTCAAATAACCTGTTTCTCAAAATGAGGGACCCCTTCAGGTGGTCGTTTTCTTTTCGGGTCTTTCCTTGAAACCATCCAAACAGACACCGACATGAGCCTGGAACGGAAGCGCGACCCGCCTGCTTCTGCGCCAAAGCCTTGGCTTGCTGCTCCTTCTTCTCCTCCAAGTGGGCCGCGTCGCTCTGCTTGCTGGCCATGTCCGTCCTGCGGCCGGCCAAACGGCGACTCCAAGCGACTGGACTCCTCTCCCTCCCTCAGCCCGATTGCTCTAGGGGGGTGATTCCAACCATTCTTTTCAACCATCGCTATTTTAAAAAACCCGCTGTTTTCCCAGGGTTTTTGGTGGTTTTCTAGAAAGAAGGATCCCTGGAAAGAATGGAGATGGAAGCTACCCTTAGAATTGCCGCAAGAATTATGAGTTCCTGGGTGATGTTTGCAACGCGACCGGAAAACCAGCGCCGTGCGGGTTCTCGTTCCTTCTGTTTGCTTCTCGCCAGAAACCCTGGCGTGTAACCCTTTCCCCCCCCAAATCAACAGCATTCAACTCATCCTAACGCACTCGACAGGAACCCATCTTGCAAACACCTGAGTCGAAGCTTGCGCATGTCAAATTCTGGTGTGTGGCCTGACCTAAGATTTGCACCCTGTGTGAAATGTACCAACACCTCCTGGGATTGAAAGCTTAAACTGTTGTTCCAGCCACCGTATAAACACACAACACATAGTTTTCGGTTTTGGCCACGTCGGAAGAGGGGTCATGCCATTTTAGGACTTTTGCGCTCGCGTCCACGCCTGCAAACTAAGATGCGTCCATTCATCTTAAGTTAAGCTGCGGTCTGCGTTGGTATTTGACCCAGAAAAAGTGGGGAGAACCAACAACCTAGGCTGGAATCAGCACCCCAGCAAAGAATCATCTTTTTTGCTTGGTTCGTGGAACACAAAGGGACCAACCAAAAAAGCAACCAAAAAAAAGGGGCTGATTCTGGGGAACCAGAACCAACTCTTTGCTCAGACCAACTTCCAGTTGCCAGGCTGAATGGCTCAGGCCTAACCACTCCCTAGGCTAAGGAGCTCGAGGGGTCGTTTCGACCCGAAAGGTTGGGGATGGCCTTCCCAAGGTTCGGATAAGCTGCAAGCTGCCCATTCTAACCTTTTAGTCCGTCTTTTTCCCCAGCTGAAAGCTTTGGGGTCTCAGCCCAGGCTCTGGGCTGGTCCGGGGCGGCCCTGAGTTAAGGTTCCACGAGGGTTCCACGAGGGTTCCACGAGGGTTCCACGAGGGTTCCACCAGGGTTCCACCAGGGTTCCACCAGGGTTCCACCAGGGTTCCACCAGGGTTCCACGAGGTTCTGCGAGGGCTGCGGGGTGGAGCGAGCACTAAAAAGAGGACTGCATGCTGTTGGGGATATCACCTGAGCTTATTTTTTAAGAGGATGCCTCATTTTCCCCTTGGGTGTTGACGAGGAGAACACGGCAACTCCCGTTGTTTGACACGCAAAAAAATAACAAGCTCAGGTGATATCCCCAACAGCATGCGATGCTCTTTTTCCCCAACAGCTGGAAGCTTTGGGGTCTCAGCCCAGATGGGCTTCGGGGCGGTCCGGGGCGGCCCTGAGGTAAGGTTCCACCAGGGTTCCATTCGGAGAAAGAAAAAAGAAAGGAGAAAAAGAAGAAAAACAAACAACAACAATCAGAAGAAGAAAAATCGAGGAAAAAAAAAGGGAAAAAAAACGACGACCCGCCGCTCGATGCGCCCAGGCGCTTGGAGTCCGCGGAGAAGGCCTTGAACTCCGCGCGGCTCTCCGCCTCCGCGGCCGAGGTCTCCGCCTCTCGCGGCTTCGTGGCGTCGCTTGGCGGCGGCGCTTGGGTGGATCCCAGCCCCGGGATATGGCGCTGGGTCAAAGATCGCCCAAAATGAGTTGGGCTTGGTGAATGGAACCCACTGAAACCTGTTCGGCTTTTTGGTGGTTTAATTTTGACCCACACCTGAAACCCACCAACTAACATGAGTTTGTGCACAGAGCCCTGTAGACTACTTTCCTCTTGGAAAGGGGGTCTGTGCACTTCCATGTTAGTTGGTGGGAGGGTACTACAAAAGAACCTACAGGGGGAAGAAAGGGTGCAATCCGCGAAAGCACGTCCAAACCGAGTTCTAGAGGCTTTATGGCTGGTTTGATAGGCAGGGAATAAGAAATGGAGCCGAACAAACGATCTCCGATTTGGTTTCCTGAAAAATGTGGAATACCCAAAACTTTTGTTCATTCCCGAAACCCGGTCTTGTTGGCATTACTGAGCACCAGCAAGTGTCGTTGCTCTTTGTCATTCAGAGTGCTTGCTTTTTGTAAAGTGTTTGGAGCTGAATTACTAGTTAAGCTTCTTTACAAGGAAACATGCTTCGAGGGCCGCTGATTGAAAGCTTTCCTGTTCCGAATCCCGCGACTGTTTGGGATCCGTCGGGGAGGATTCGCCCAAACAAGTAAAGGGAAGTCTAGGGTTTGTATTTAAGGTTACCTTGATCAGGTTGGTTTAAAGGAGAACAAGTCCTGGGATCCATGTATTGTTGGATATCTTGATCAGGTGGCTGGGAAACCGAAAGGACAACCAATTTGGGGGTTCCCTATTTTGACACATACCCACCTGCCAACCAAAAAAATGGATGGCTTTGTTTGAGGTATCCTTTTTAGGCTGATTTAAACATAAACTGAAAGGACCAAAATTTGCATGCGTCCAAGTTTCTATTTTGAGAGCCCAAATGGGGAAAAACCTCCAAGCATTCTGATGTCCCCTTCAACAGTTGCAGTTCACCGGTGAAATCCAACCAAAGTGCCACCTTTGGCGGTGTCTTGGGACCGAAATTGAGGGAGCCCTGTGTGAACCCCTAACAAATTCCCCGAATTGAATCCATCTTCCTCCCGATGTCCATCTGGGGGGAGGGAGGTAGTGGATCATTATCTCTAGGTCATGTCCAACTATAAAGCCATGGATCCGAGACTTCCGGAAACCTGGGAGATTGTGGTAAGCATGTGGAATCAACCAATCGTCAGTCTGGGAATTGCCCAAACTTCTTTGCGGCTGCGGCCTTCCAAATGGCAAATACTCCGATTGAAGTGTCCACAGCAGCTGATTCCCACAATCCTTGATCCTGGTGAGTACCTCCCTACCATCGCATCCCTTGCCTCAGTCGCACTTTTCCTCACTTTGATATTGATGCAGCCCCCCAACTCTTCATCCCAGGTGTTGATTGTGGCTGGCGGTAGCGGCGCTGTCTATCCTCCAGGGCATTGCCTGGGAATCACGGAGTGAACCCTAAACGCGAAAGAAGGGCCACAAGGGTGTCGACCTGTGAGGAAAGTTCAGCGACTCTTGCCTCACAGGCCGCAGGCAGAATAACCTCTGAATACTGCACCTTGCACGGGGGCATCCGGCGAAGCCTGCCGAGCCTCGTCCAGGGAACTGTGAAACCACAGAGCACACAACAAGGCTCGCAAGGGTCCCAATCGGCGCCATAGCAGTGGGAGAGCCCGGGGGCACCGGCCATACGACTGGCCCAACCGGTCATAAGATGTTTCCTTCGACCTATACAAAACCGAAGTCTTCGCACAGAGGAGTTCCCGAGTGCTTCACGCAGCTGGTCGGCGTCTAAGCTGTAAAGGAAGTTGATCGGCACCACCTCAAGGAGATACTCTTTCAAGAGGATCTTGCATGCATCCAGACGTTCCTGAACCGAGGTCAGGGCATCAAAAACGATGCAAGGGCGGTCATGGACCTGGTTCAAGCCGGGAAGAACCGGGCCCGCCATCTTATCATTCATACGAGACCGAACCACCAGGGAGGCAAACACAGGCGAAGACCTCCAGCAAGTGATAGATGCGCCAACCTGATCCATAGTGACGTAAAGCTTACGCAGCGGTCTGCCCAGCATAAGGTATTCCTCATTCAAGTTGACCAGAACTTTAATCCCAATGTTGATGCCGTCGTGCCGTGGAAGCATCAGCCCGAAGGGCAACGTCGGCAGCGGAGGCCAAGACTGACAAAGCTCCAACATGTCCGGCTCGGTTTCAACATCAATTGGAATCCCTTGCATTTTGAGAATACCCAGACATAACATCCGGATCTTCCACTGGGCCTCACGAGCAGTCTTGATCTTCCGCAGGAAAGGCGCTTTGTCCCCTGCAATAAAGATGAAGAGCAGCAAGGCCTCAATCCAAGTATGCCTTCTTGAGAGGGTTTCAGCTTTGCCTTTGTCAAATATGCACCAGTCAAGCATACCCCGAAGGAGGTGGAAGTCTTCAATACAACCACCCCAGTACCATAAGTTGGCTTTGACCGCCATCATATCAGGGTCGATAGTCAAGAATTGTCCCCTTTTAAACACAACGTGGCTGTGGAAGGGGGAGCTGAGCAAATAAATATCTTCCGGCTGAGCGTGCTGTCGATCAGCACAATCAGACTGTACCGGAGCATGATCAAGCTGAATATTGCAATCAATTGTACGGAGATCGCGGTGACGAGCTTCCCATTTACCAAGGAGGTCAACCGCTTGTCGTTGAATCGTACCCCATTTAGCCTGAAGCCTAGGGGGAAGGTCTTTGCAGAACACAAGAAGGTGTTGCGAACAGGGGCTCCACTGTAACCAGGATTCCCAACCTTCATCCCATTGACTGCGCAGATCGGCCCAAAAAGGGCATTCCCAAAACAGGTGCGCCATAGTAGCGTCATGGTGTCTACATTCTCTGCACTCTGGAGTATCAGTGAACTTCTTGACAAATTGCACGTGGAAGGAATTGATCCCGTTGATCAGCACTCGAATGAGCTTTTGTTGCACGGGGTGCCCTTCAGGCAATAAGTGAAGAAGCGCAGTGGTTGTGCCGAAATCGTGGTTGCCGATCCCCTTCCAACAGGAGGAGTTGCACTGTTCCAATTCAGATGCAATCTTGTTACGGAAGGAATGACTAAGAGCCTTGCTCATAACTTTGCAGTCGCTACTTCCAAAGGTCCAAAGCAATCTACCCTCATTGTTGCTAACTTGCAAGTTGTCAATGTTCAAATGAAGCTGCAAATACTCCAAATCCTTCTTAAGCTGGGAAACAGGGCCAATCTTCTTGATAGAGGGGAGAGCTTTCTCCCAGCTCTGAATCACTGCATCCTTGAAGGCGGGCCTCTTGAAGGCATGATTGTTCCAGAAGAGCAGGTTTCTCCAGACAAAGAAAAACTCAGGGTCCATAAGCAAGTAGTTCTTCTGAAACAGAATTCGAGCCGAAAAGGTCCCAAGCTTGCTTCCGTGTGCCGCAGTACGAATAGCCGTGCGAAGCTGCCTGAGCTGATCCTTAGTCGGTCTCAGTGTAGCGCCTGCATACGTAAGCATGGGAATAATGACCGTGCGGACAATCATATTGGTGGTGGCCGCAGGTTGGTTGGCCCTTGCAAGCAATTGTAGCGCGGTAATAGCTCTGTGTATTTTCTTTTCAAACCAAGTCTTAGAAGAAAAGAGCCCAATGGCCAGGGGAACACCAAGGTAATCAACCGACTTGACTTCCTTGACCACTTGTCCATCCCGCCAACAAAGCGGTGTGGACTTCTTCACATCTCTGATTTGACAAGTCTTTATTTGCGTGCGAAAATTATGAAGCGTATCCCAGGCCTCGGTACGTCCAAAGGCATGCTGGAGTTCATTCGAGTCACCTTCCGTGAAAAGAAGCCTATCATCCACATAAACATAATTGTAGACAGCGCTGTTGAGATCTCTTGACCAAACCGCCAGCACCAGGCTAGCGGCGGCCATACTGATGGGGTCACCCTGAGGCAACCCGATCGTCCCAAGAACGGGCCGTCTGGCTACTATGCCTGAGGTGGAAACGAATCTCCTCATGTGCCTGATGGAATGAATCCAGGTGCCGACAGCCGCCTGATGCATACCCCATTCGGATAAGGCATGACAAGCGAGCCAATGTGGGATACAATCGAAGAACTTGACTGTGTCGATTGCCACACCATGAAATGAGAGGTGCGTCTCATTCTGGCATTTCTCAGCCGATAGAGAGGCGTGCAGCCAAGCCTGGTAGCCACTGCGCTGAGGTACACCCCCAATGATGTTCTCAGGGAGGTTATCAAAGGTAATTTCACCACACTTCAAAAGCCACTTGTGGAAAATGCGCAGAGCCGTGACTTCGATAGTTATGGGTCTCATGGCATCGAGATCAAAGCCGGCTTCACCTTTCGGAATAACCACAAGTTTAGCATTAAGCCAGTGCTTGGGAACCCTTCCGCAAATAACGCAAAGCATAAAAAGACTGTGCAGGAAATCCACGCCCCTTGGCGGAAGCTTTTTGAAATGCGCGTAGGTCCAACCACCAAGCCCCGGCGACGAGATACCTTTCCCGTTTCTGAGGATCCGATTGAGGTGTTTCACATTCCACATATCTGCAGGGACTTCGTGGTTGGCGTTGCCTACATCCCAGGACATTTGGTCATCATGCTGGTAAACTGAAGCAAAGAAGTCGCGGATGACATCCACCGTCTCTTGAGGGGTCTTGGTCCAGCCGTCGTTCGCTTTGATAAAAGGGGGGGGCTTGCGGGTCGGGGCCCTGACCCATTTGCAAACGTCCCCAATCCATTTACTCTTCTGGGATTTGTCGCCGGGCTGCTGCATTCTGTGCTTCCAAGCCTGAAGTTTGTCAAGCGAAGGTTGACCCAGCTCAAGAAGGGCTTCTCGGATTTCTTCGTGCTCCTGTGCTTCACTGGATTGTGCAATAAGCTTCCTGTGAAAAATCGCTTTCTGCTGGTTTTCCCAATGCATTTTGACTCCCAGGCCAGGGACTCGCTTGAAGTTGGTGTGGCCGTTCCAGAAACGAAACATAGTTGAGGCGAAGATGGACCAGCACATATCCACATCAAATTTCTCATAAGCCACACACCATTCATCTTGCAACTCATCCCATACTTCGGTGTGATTTCCACACTGCTCGTTGATGTGATATCCTTCAATCTGCAAGTATTGATGCACCTCGGCGTTCCAATTGAGCTTGGTCGAGATGATGGCGTGCCCATTGTCGTAGGGGAAAAACGCGATTGGAGGACCGAATTCCATTCGAACGTCTTTGTGACAAATAATGTCATCAATCTTTGTCTTGGATTGAGCTCTCTGAAAGGTGTAAGGATCGGGACCAAGCATGTCCGTCAACTTGGACTACAAGTCCTCGAAGAGGATGTCCATGTCCGTCCCCCACAGTAGGGGACTATTGAAGTCTCCAGCAATGGAGTGAGGTTGGACCTCCTGCGCATCGGCGGCGAGGTCCCGCAGGAACTGGAAGTTCTTCTGCGGGTCATCAGGAGCATAAACATTCCAAAGCGTCCTCCAAGTGGTACCGTCGAAGAAGTTGACAGCCAGGAATCTTCCCTGCTCGTGCCAGTACTCCATCCTTGCAGGTGACGGGCCCACGTGGGCCGGAATCTCCTTCTTGATAGCGATAGCTACTCCAGGGCACTGCTTGTGATGCAGACCAACTTTGCCACAGCCTTTCTTTTTCCAAACCGGGCACTTGCCAAACAGGAGTTGGTAACCTGAAGAGTCGGCCGAGTTAGCAAACAATTGAGCTTTGCGAGAGTCAATCCGGGTTTCTTGTAAAGCAAGGATGGAAAACCCCATGCTGAGAACCATATTGAGCTTGTCCGAGAGGCTGTTGAGATTCCATGTACCAAGGAAGACTTCACTTGTCATACCTCCAACCAAGGAGAAAATACAATACAATAAACGGGAAACCAGCTCCTGAGAAAAGGAGCCTCCATTCATATCCGCGCGGTGAGTCCCTAGTCAAGGCTGACCGGGGAACCCATCATCTTCGAAAAGGGAGGACGCCGCAATATCCTCTTCCATCTGTTCTTCCTGCGCCTGCAACTCCGGGGATTGGAGCAGGGATTGAAGAG